TCCTGAAGGTGCTGACTCTCACTGGGATACAGCTCCTGAAGGTGCTGGCTCTCACTGGGATACAGTTCCTGAAGGTGCTGGCTCTCACTGGGATACAGCTCCTGAAGGTGCTGATTCTCACTGGGATACAGTCCCTGAAGGTGCTGACTCCTACTGGGATACAGATCCTGAAGGTGCTGACTCCTACTGGGATACAGTTCCTGACGAGGCTGACTTTCACTGGGATACAGTTACTGACGGGGCTGACTCTCACTGGGATACAGTTCCTGACGAGGCTGACTCTCACAGGGATACAGTTCCTGACGGGGCTGACTCTCACTGGGATACATGTTCCTGAAAGGTGCTGGCTCTCACTTGGATACAGTTCCTGAAGGTGCTGAATCTCACTGGGATACAGTTCCTGAAGGTGCTGACTCTCACTGGGATACAGTTCCTGAAGGGGCTGACCCTCACTGAGATACAATTCCTGAAGGGGCTGAATCTCACTGGGATACAGTTCCTGAAGGTGCTGACCTTCACTGGGATACAGTTCCTGAAGGTGCTGACTCTGACTGGGATACAGTTCCTGAAGGAGCTGACCCTCACTGGGATACAGTTCCTGAAGGAGCTGACCCTCACTGGGATACAGTTCCTGAAGGTGCTGACCCTCACTGGGATACAGTTCCTGAAGGTGCTGACTCTCACTGGGATACAGTTCCTGAAGGTGCTGAATCTCACTGGGATACAGTTCCTGTAAGTGCTGACTCTCAATGGGGGACAGTTCCTTCCTGCCTAGCCTTCAGTGTTTGTAACATGCAAAAAACATGAGTGAAGATGTGAGAGGAATGAAAATTTCACGGAAGATATCAGAAAGGTGAGCTTATTGATGTGTGACGTTGATAGAGACTTGCCAGGATGTTTCCCCAGGAGATTGTGTAACTCTCTGAGGGATGCTGGATCGAGGCCAGTACTGATGGTAACGACAGGCACTGGGTGAGGATTAGGGTATTTGGTGACCGACAGAGATGCTGTGAAATTTCTCTCTGGGTTTTTAAAGTTTAATTGTCTCCCTTTTACAGAACATCAAGCAGCCTGAGAATAACCTGATTGCAATCGATAGCAAAACTCTGCAAACCGAGACAAACCAGGTCAGTCCGTTTCTAGTGGCGTAGTGTCTCCAATTCTTCTCAATTCCATATCTCTGGATGCGCACCGTACTGCTGGAGGCGGGGCACAGAAACACTAAGTTGGAGAGGACATGAAAGGTAACCCTCCTCCTGTTAGTGACACAGAACCAAACAAGGGCAGGATCTGAAGTGGACAAAGTCAGGGGTCACACAACACCAGGTTATAGTGCAACAGGTTTACTTGAAGTCACAAGCTTTCATAGCGCTGCTCCTTTGTCAGGCAATGTGATTGTCAGGTTAAATAACTACCAGTTGTCTCTGTCTAAGGAGAGAGCCGCCCTATGGTCCAGGAAGATTATGGTACCTTTATTTTTCACTTTTCTCACCCCATAACAGAATTGGAAATACAAAAACGCATCAGTCTTCATTTTAAAATGATTCACAGATTTCACTTAAATTGTGAATTCGCTGAAGACCGTTTCTAGAAGCACTTGACTCGGGGTAAAAAAAAATATCTTTCACCGGGATTGTATCAGCACCGAGAGTTTTCAGGAAACATTAAACAGTTTGGGCTTTTTATTTTTGCATTTTCTTTTATTTTAGATTTCTAGAACCTGCAGCAGTCTGCTTTTAGCTTCACACAAATTCTTGTTGAGATCTTTTGTTTGCGTGAATTTTCATTCATTGTGTTTAACTCATGCATGAATTTTTTTAATGAAAAACACAAAAAAAGACAATCTTAAAAAAAAAATTTGTGGGTGGTTCAGTGGTTAGCACTTCTGCCTCACGGTGCCAGGGACATGGGTTCGATTCCACCCTCGGGCGACTGTCTGTGTGGAGTTTGCACATTCTCCCCGTGTCTGCGTGGGTTTCCTCCGGGTGCTCCAGTTTCCTCCCACAGTCCAAAGATGTGCAGGTTAGGGTGGATTGGCCGTGCTATATTGCCCCATAGTGTCCAGGGATGTGCAGACTGGGTGGGTTAGTAATTGGAAATGCAGGGTTACAGGGATAGGGTAGGGAAATAGGTGTGGGTGTGGGTGTGGGTGTGGGTGGGACACTCTTCTCTGAGGGTCAGTGTAGACTCAATGGGACAAATGGCCTGCTTCCACATTGTAGGGATTCTATGATTATTCCTTTAGAAATGTGGATATTTGGAGGAGATCATGTTGTATTGTTTTAAACATAGTGCTGAATGGTTTGTCATGAGGGGAGGCGATGGCCTAGATGTATTATTGTTGGACTGTTAATCCAGACACCCAGGTAATGTTCTGGAAACCTAGGTTCAAATCCCACCAGGGAAGATGATGAAATTTGAATTTACTAAAAATCTGGAATTAAGAATCTAATGTGACCATGGAACCATCAGCAATTGTCAGGAAAAACCCAACTGGTTCACTAATGTCCTTTAGGGAAGGAAACTGCCATCCTTACTTAGTCTGGCCTACATGTGACTCCAGATCCACAGTAATGTGGTTGACTCTGAACTGCCCTCTGGGCAATTAGGGATGGGCAATAAACGCTGCCTGGCCAGTGACGCCCTCATCCCGTGAATGTATTAATGAAGAAGGCCCATGGATGGAGAGAGAGCGTTTCCTGACACAACAGAATCCAAATTTTGGCGCCAAAAATCTGGGGCAGTTACAGGTAAATGCAGAGAGGAAATAAAGAGAAAGTTTTGCCACAGTGTGTATTCACAAAGTACTTTTTACATAGCAAAATGACTCAAAGTGTTCCATACAAATGCAATCAACACAAATTCATCACCAATTCACAAGGAGATATTAGGAGAGGTGAATAAATGTTTGCCCAAAAGTGGTCAATTTTAAGGAGCTTCTTAAAGGAGTTGATGGATAGAGAGCAAGAGAGAGAGGGAGAGGGAAAGGGGGCTTTCAGAGACAGTTAGGGAGGGAGTTCCAGAGTTGAAGGCCCAGCTGAGGGCACAGATGCCAGTAATGACTGATTAAAACTGGGGGGAGGCACAAGGGGTGAGAGTGAGAGGAGTGAAAAGATTTCTGAGGGTTGTGGGTCTGAAGGAGATGGCAGAGACAGGGAAGGATTTGGAAATAAATTTGAGAAGATGAATTCAAGGGGCTGGTTAACTGGGAGCCGGTGAGAGTCAGCGAGGACAGCGGTGTTAGAATACAGAGAGTATTTGGATGTGTGCAAACGTACGGAGGATGTGATTGACTGATCAGTCATGAATAATCAAGTCTAAATGACATTGGCATGGGCGACGGTTTCCACAGCCTATCAGCCAAGGCAGGCATGGGGTTGGGTGGTATCCTGGAGGTAGGTGTAAGAACCTTGATGATAGTATGGGATAGGATGTGGGAATGAGCTGAGAGTCAAGCGGGACACAGAAACAGGGAGACGATTGTTCCAGAGATTGGACCCTGAGAGACTGCCATTGGAAGAAAACAGCTGAATTATTATTGCGCTGAGGGAGGCTATTCGGCCCATCGTGCCTGCAGCAGCTCCCTGCCCCACATTCCGATGCACCATCGCCTTCCAAATAACCATCCAATGCCCCTCTTGAAGGCTTCAATTAAACCTGCTTCCCACACATTTCCAGGCAGAGCTTTCCAAACCCTAACTACGCGCTGGGTGAGAAAACTTTTCCACACGAAACCCTCACTTTACAATCCGCATCCCTCTTGTTCGTTACAGCTTCTCCCTGCCTATCCTATCCAGTCCCTGCTCGTGATAGTGTAAACCTCAATCAGACTGCTCTGACTGAATAAGGGGCTGATTTGTGTCTTGGTGGTTTGCAGGAACCGATGGAGCTGGACCTGGAGATGTTAGCACCGTACATCTCCATGGACGAGGACTTCCAGCTGAGCAGCTTTGAGTGTGCAGAAGACAAGGACAGTCAGGTCTTTCCTGACGTTCACCCAGACTCCCATGGACAAAGTGCCGCAGCGACAGACTCTGATGGCTTGTCTGCGACACCGAGCGAGCCAAGGAACACAGGCCCTTCCAACAACCGCTCCAGGTCCAGCAGCTTCCACAGGGTCCGCCCCCAGAAACGGGGGGACACTCCCCACCCAGAGGGAACCTCGGCTGCTCTGCAACGTTCCAGCAGCGCAACCAATCTCAGCAAGATCCCAGCCCCAGCTCCCAGCGGCCGCCCGATCGCTTTTGGAGGGCCAGCATTCACTGTGGCTGTGAAGAATGTCCTCCTGGCTTTATTCCAGCCCCAGACCACTGACGCCGAGGTTCAAATCGGCCAAACTGCCAGCACCGAAGGTCAAGAAACAACATTTGCAACAGCTACCGAGGGGCTTGAGCCAAGCGATCTCCTGGAAGCTGCTGGACTTGTCAGCGATGCCAAACACTCCCCATCCAAACAGAGGTACGTCAAATGGTTCATTATTATACAGTGCCATTGTTACACACATCACCAGACCATGTGGGTGCCCGGTCTGTACAATGTCCTGAGGACCAGCACAATTTATACCATCAATATCAGCACCGAGACGAGATATTGTTCAGGTCAGACTGAACATGACAGTGACCCTGTCCCTCAAAACTTTATGAGCATCAGTGCCCTTTGAACTGTACACCCAACACGGGTCAGTGCCCTTTGAACTGTACCCCCAACACAGGTCAGTGCCCTTTGACCTGTACCCCCAACACGAGTCAGCACCCTTTGACCTGCACCCCTAACACAGGTCAGTGCCCTTTGACCTGTACCCCAATATGGGTCAGTGCCCTTTGACCTGCACCCCCAACACGGGTCAGTGCCCTTTGACCTGTACCCCCAACACGGGTCACCACCTTCAGGGCAGGAGAATGATCATGTCAAAGACCACATCCTATTGGATGATCGATGTTCTGGTCTTGTACTGGGGAACAAGCTGCTCCTGGTGGGTCCTAGTGAGCAGCCACCCTTATCACTGAGCCTCTCTGGCTGGTTTCTCAAGCTGTTCCTTGAGCACTCGCTTGCCCACACCTGACTAGTGTAACTCTTTGGTAATTGTGAAATTTGCTTTAGTTTTCTAAAAACAGAACCTTTTAACCGGCTTTATGAGGTTAGAGACCAGTGAGTCTCTGTGCTGACTGAACCAATCTGACAGTATCTGTGGTTTGTGAAGTTAGTAATGTTCCTGGTGCCGAATGTGTAAATAGATCAATTCTCTCTCACTCTGCAGGACTCAGGGTGACTGGGAGGTCAACAAAAACCAAGAGGAACTCAGCCCCCAGGTGCTGGACCTTTGTAACCTCAAAAGGAAACACTCTCTGCTGAACGGGAGCTTTCAGGTACAGCTCGAATTATCAAAACCCTCAGAAATATCTGCTGCTGGGTCGGGGCAATTTGGTTTGTTCATTACCTAGTTAATTAGTCAACAAGTTGCATAGCCCAATTGGCAACTAGTTGAGTAACCTCCTGGTTGATGTGTTAGCTGGAGGATTGGAGATGTGGCTCATTAGTTAACTAGTTCACTAACCCACCGGTTTATGTGTTGCTTGCTGGTTAACTGGTTGACCAGCTTACTGGTTGATGGTTTGGCAAGTCAGTTGGTTGGAGAGTCAGAACAGCAGCTAGTAATTAATTAGTTACTCAATGAATGGGTGGTTGATTTGGTTGTGTTAACTGTCTCTATTACAGGTAATACTAAGGGTTAAAAATGTTGAGGCTTGGTTTCAGAGAAAGACTGAGTTGTGGAGAACTGGCAAATGTTAAGTTCGCTCAATAAAGAGAAAATCGGCTACAAATTGAGATTAGAAATTCCTTCTCATCTGAGCCTTAAATTGGCACCCCTTCATTCTGAAACTATGCCCCTCTGGTCCCAGACGCTCCGATGAGGGAACTGTCCTCCCAGCATTGACCCTGTCTTCACAAGAATCCTGACAAGAGTTCAGTATTCACATGCTATAAGACTCTCTAAGTGACATTGTCACAGGTGTGAGGTACTGATATCTGGTAGAGATTGTGCTCTCCATGGTGTATTGGATATGAATGTTAATGGGATACTGTCTCTACCCCTAATTGCCCATCCATGTAAGAGTCAGTCGCATTGCTGTGGGTCTGGAGTCAGACTGGGTAAGAATGGCAGATACCCATCCCTACAGGGTACTAGAGAACCAGATGGGCCTTTTACAGCCAGATTGGCAATGCTCAGTCTGGGATTGCTAGCGCAGTGACATAGCCACTATGTCACCTCCTCCTGGATACAGGATAGATGGTGCCTGTGGCTTGGACAGCTAGCTGGTTGCTGATGGGCTAATGGGTTGGTTTGGGTCATGAATAGTTTTGACTAACAGGCTGGTTGGTACAAAAACAAAGTTGCTGGAAAAGCTCAGCAGGTCTGGCAGCGCCTGTGGAGGAGAAAACAGAGTTAACGTTTCGGGTCCGGTAACCCTTCCTCAGAACTGACCCTTCCAGTTCTGAGGAAGGGTCACCGGACCCAAAACGTTAACTCTGTTTTCTCCTTCACAGATGCTGCCAGACCTGCTGAGCTTTTCCAGCAACTTTGTTTTTGTTCCTGATTTACAGCGTCCGCAGTTCTTTCGGTTTTTATTTAGGCTGGTTTGGTAAATGAGTTGGTTTGGTTGTGGGGTCAGTTCAATGGTTTGTTGATCGGTTAGTGAGTTAGCTGGTTAGGAATCGGGTTAAATAGCTGTTAGTTGAATGGCTGCTATAAGGGGCTCTTAGGGGCCCACTTGTGGTGCAGTGGTACTGTCCCAACCTCTGGATCAGGAGACCTGGGTCCAGTCCTACCTGCTCCAAAGGTGTGTAATAACTTCTCCGAACAGTTTCATTAGAAAAATGGGTTAAATTAAATTAAATTTTAAAAAAGGCTATTGTGGAGCAGTGGCAGTGTCCCCATCTTTGTGCTAGGAGTCATAAAGTCATACAGCACGGAAACAGACCATTTGGTCCAACCAGTCCATAATCCTAAACTAAACTAGCCCCACCTGCCTGCTCCTGGTCCATTTCCCTCCAAACCTTTCCTATTCATGTACTTATCCAAATCAAACAGGCCCTTCGGCCCAACTCGTCCATGCTGACCGGGTTTCCTAAATTGAACTAGTCCCATTTGCCTGTTCCACGGCAGGAAAGTGGCATTGAATAGCAAGACACAGGTCTACTATACATGCCTCCTGAATATGCAGCTGTACCGAGGTGAGTGCTAGATCCTACAGCAGGGTCCAAGGGCACAGTACAGCCTACTGTATTCTAAATCTTAAAGGGCACCCACATTTCTGGCAAATGGAAGCTAAGCTGCTAAGTTCAATTACATTTCATAAACAACGACATTGGAAAGCAGTGGTTTCTCTATCGACATCAGCAACAAGCTGCATTTCTATAGCTCTTTTCTATAGCAAGATATTTGAAGACAATTCACAGAAGCAATGAAACAAAACTACACAACTACACAAAGGAAGGAACTAAGAGAACATAGGTAGCTTTTAAGGTGCCTCTTAAGGAGGGGAAAGAGATGGAGAGGATTGGGGAGGTAATTCCAGACCTCAGGCCCCAAGTGACTGTAAGGCCACCAACAGCATAGCAACCGAAGTCACAGCAACACAAGAGATCACAGATACCTCGGGGGGGAGGAGGAGGAGGAGGAGGAGGACCAGGTTTAAGACCACCCCTGTCCAGAGGTGGGTAGTGACATCGCTGAACACGTTAATGGGAGCATAAGCCTCAGAGCGAGAGCTATGGGCAGCCAGTGGCAAAGTGGCGATGTCAATGGACAAGCAACCCAGAAGCCCAGACTAACGTTCTGGGTTCGAGTCTCACCTTGGCAGATGGTGGAACTTGAAAAGAGGGCCTTTTGTGACACAACGGTAGTATCCCTACCTCTAGACCAGGAGGCCTGGGTTCTAGAATGGGAAGGGTTCAGAGGGGCATGGCCCAAATGCTGGTAAATGGGAGTAGATTAATTTAAGACATCTGATTGGCATGGACGAGTTGGACCGAAGGCTCTGTTCCGTGAAGTATAACACTAAGTCCCACCTGCTCCAGAGGTATCTAATAACATCCCTGCGCTGATTGGTTAGAACATAGCTGTTATTTATTTTGGATTGGGCACTTCTTGCCCCTGTTCCTTGGCTACATTCATGCCGGGGTGCCCTTGGGAGAGGGAGCACCGGGACTTAGAGAGAGAGGTGAGCATTGCCTGGTCTGGAGCGTATTAGTTCCCTGTGTTTTAATTTAGTCCCATTCCCGTCTTCCCACCAATCCCCCTTTGCTGCAGTTCCTGTTCATTGTTACTGTTTAGTTGTTTTAATTTGATGGTGGGTTATCAGAATAAAACCCCACGTTTTTTTTTGAATTTGCCTCACAGGATTCTGATCTGGATGTCGCAAGTGTTGCTGACATTGTCCGAGTGACAGCGAAACGATTGAAAAGGCTCGAGAATCAGAAAGCTGCTGGAGACGAGGAAACTCAGCCATCGGTCACCCCAATGAGTAAGAGATTCACTCTGTTTGCTCCCTCTTGTTCGAAGTGGAGCGAAACCGCGGCGCAGCATTTGTGACCTCGCGGTACTGAGTCAGGAGGTTGTTAAACCCATAATCCCAGCAGGACCAGCTGTCAGGCAGAATTTGACTGACATTCTGCTCATTTCTGTCTCAGCGGCTAATAATCTCCGAGAGAACCTCCTGCCCACAATAGTTCAAAATGACTGCAGTCCCAGACCAACATGACCGCTTCACACCAGGGCAGCAACTGATGGACAATAATCTTGCCAGAAACACATTAAAACTCTCATTATGGTCATCCATTTCCCTTCACCCCAACAGTACAGAAAGAGGTCATTCGGCCCATCAAATCTGCACTGACCCTTTGACGAGCAGCCCACCTCCCCTACCCTATCGCCTGTAATTCCCATGGCTAACCCACCTGACCCCCACATCCTTGGACACTATGGGCAATTTCCCATGCCCAATCCACCCTAACCTGCACATCTTTGGACTGTGGGAGGAAACCGGAGCACCCAGAGGAAACCCACGCAGACATGGGGAGAATGTGCAAACTCCACACAGACAGTCGCCCGAGGGTGGGATCCAACCTGGGTCCCTGGCGCTGTGAGGCAGCAGTGCTAACCACTGAGCCACTGTGTCACCCCCCTCACTAGAAAGGGTTGGTTTCATCGGAGGTATGACTTTACAGCACTGGTCACACACTCATATTGACTGGCTATTCAGCCTTGAGAGGCATCGCCTGCACTCTGACTCACCATCCTCAGTCAGTGACACCCCAAATCTTCTGAATTCTGATGCAATGTACAATGGCGTTGGTTCAGCCTTGTCTGACTTAAACATTGAAGGCCATTTTCGCAGGGTCCTCAACAGAGACAGGGCTTAAACCTGAGGCTTCTCTGTCTCAAGGAGCTCACTGAGCAAGTCACCGAGAGAGTCACAGGGGAGAAAAGCGAAACTAAATCATCACTTTAACAGCAAGCTTTATTCCTGACCATTCCAAGGCTGGAAAATAACTCAAACTGAGATTTTTTAAAATCTTCTTTTGTGGGATGTGAGTGTTCACTGTGCTCATCCCTAATTGCCCCTTGAGTATCTTGCTTGGCCATTTTACAGAGTAGTTGAGTCTAACACATTACTGTGGGTCTGGAGTCACATGTAGGCCAGACCAGGTAAGAACAGCAGATTTCCTTCCCTAAAATGATGCAATCATAGAATCCATACAGTGCGAAAGCAGGCCATTTGGCCCATTGAGTCCACACCAACCTGAAGAGCATCCCACCCAGACCCAGTACCGTCCCATAACCGTGCATTTCCCATGACTAACCCACCTAGTCTGCCCATCCCTGGACACTATGAGCAATTTAGCATGACCAGTCCACCCTAATCTGCACATCTTTGGACTGTGGGAGGAAACCCACGCAGACACGGGGAGAATGTGCAAACTCCACACAGACAGTCACCTGAGGGTGGGATCGAGCCCGGGTCCCTGGCGCTGTGAGGCAGCAGTGCTAACCACTGAGCCACCGTGCCGCCCCAAATAATGCACAATCACCATCACAGAGACTAGTTTTCAATTCCAGAGTTTTGTTTTATAGTTTTTTTCTCCATCACCAAATCACCCGTGGCATTTATTTTTCACCTGTTAACCACCAACAGCAAGTCCCCGCGTTTTCCAGTTGGTTCCTTTATCTGTAAAGCCTATTACAGGCAATGCAGACCATCGAGGGTGAGCTAGCGATAAGGAAATGGGGAGGAGGCTAAATCAAAGTGGAGATAAAGCCCCTCTAGTGCTTTAAAGGCACATTCTTGAGTTTATTCATTGAATTTACATGCGATCAGCTGAAGCAAGACCCCCCCCCCCGCCATGAGGGAGAGTTTCAATTGCAGGGCGCTGGGGAGCAAGTTCGAGGATGTTGAGTGGAAGAGTTATTTTCTCCTTGTTCTGACCAAAATTCCTCACTGAGCCAATATCGGTGATACAGTCATAGAGACGTACAGACGGAAACAGACCCTTCGGTCAAACTCATCCATGCCGACCAAATATCCTAAATTAATCTAGTCCCCATTTGTCAGCATTTGGTCCATATCCCTCCAAACCCTTCCTATTCATGTACCCATCCAGATGCCTTTTAAATGTTGTAATTGTACCAGCCTTCACCACTTCCTCTGGCAGCTCATTCCATACACGCACCACCCTCTGTGTGAAAAAGTTGCCCCTTTGAACCCCTTTAAATCTTTCCCCTCTCACCTTAAACCTATGCCCCTCTAGTTTTGGACTCCCCCACCCTGGGGGAAAGACCTTGACTATTCATCCTTTCCATGTGCCTCATGATTTTATAAACCTCTATAAGATCACCCCTCAGCCTCCGACGCTCCAGGGAAAATAGTCCCAGCCTAATCAGCCTCTCCCTGTAGCTCAAACCCTCCAACCCTGGCAACATCCTTGTAAATCTTTTCTGAGCCCTTTCAAGTTTAACAACATCCTTCCCATAGGAAGTAGACAAGAATTGAATGCAGTATGCTAAAAGTGGCCCTAACCAATGTCCTGTACAGCCACAACATGATCCTCCCAACTCCTATACTCAATACACTGACTAATAAAGACAAGTGTACCAAACACCTTCTTCACCGCCCTGTCTACCTGCGACTCTACTTTCAAGGAACTATGAACCTGCACTCCAAGGTCTCTCTGTTCAGGAACATTCACCTGGACCTTACCATTAAATGTATAAGTTTTGCCCTAATTTGCCTTTCCAAAATGCAGCATCTCATATTTTTCTAAATCAAACTCCATCTGCCAATCCTTGTCCCATCTGATTAAGGTCCTATTGTACTCTGAGGTAACCTTCTTTCCTGTCCACTACACCTCCAATTTTGGTGTCATCTGCAAACTTATTAACCATACTTCCTTTGTTCACATCCAAATTAGCGATATATATGACGAAAAGCAGTGGGCCCAACACCGATGCTTGTGGCACACTGCTGGTCACAGGCCTCCAGTCTGAAAAGCAACCCCCCACCACCACCCTCTGTCTCTTACCTTCGAGCCAGCTCTGTGTTCAAATAGCTTGTTCTCCCAGTATTCCAAGTGATCTAACCTTTTTAACCAGTCCACCATGAGGAACCTTGCTGAACGCCTTACTGTGGGAGGAAACCAGAGCACCCGGAGGAAACATATGCAGACACGGGGAGAATGTGCAAACTGCAGACACACTATTGAACACGGGTCCCTGGTGCTGTGAAACCAAAGTGCTAACCCCTGAGCCACCACGCCCATAATGGCTACTTTACTGAGAATTTTCCCTTTAATAGTCTCTTTCAGGATCTCAGCACATCTCAAAATGCTTTGCAACCAATGAAATACTTTTCTGGTGTAGCAAATGTGAGAAACATAGCAACTGCTTTGTACACAGCAAGCTCCCAGTAAAAGCAGTGACTAGACCATAACCGGATTATCTTGTGTTGCAGCACGGTGGCTCGGTGGTTAGCACTGCTGCCTCACGGTGCCAGGGACCCGGGTTCAATTCCACCCTCGGGCAACAGTCTGTGTGGAGTTTGCACATTCTCCCCGTGTCTGTGTGGGTTTCCTCCGGGTGCTCCGGTTTCCTCCCACAATCCAAGGATGTGCAGGTTAGGCTGGATTGGGCATGCTAAATTGCTCATAGTGTCCAGGGATGTGAAGGCTGGTTGGGTTAGCCATGGGAAATGTAGGGTTACAGGGATAGGGTAGGGGGTTGGTTCAGGGTGGGATGCTCTTTCAGAGGGTTGGTGTACACTTGTTGGGCTGAATGGCCTGTTTCCACACTGTGGGGATTCTATGATTGAGGGATAAATATTACCAGGTCTTCCCCTGTTCTTCCTTCAAATCAGGGCAGAGGGTCTGTTAAATCTAGCTAAAAGACGCCTGAGTATAAACATCTCAGATGGCACCTCTGACAGTGAGGCACTCCCTCGGCACTCAGCTCTCTGAATCCAACAACTTCCTGATTCCGAGGTTAATATGCCACCTGCTGAGTTTGGAAATTGAGTAGGAATCGTCGGTGCTGAGAGGGTTTTAATACAGCTTAACATCATGTCTTCTTTCGACAGCGTTGATCATGCAGCTACTTGGGAAGGAGGTGCCTGGGCCTCCAGAGCTGACCCGTTACAACTGTGAAGTGAATGCTCCGTTACCTGATAGGCACCATCTCCTACAGGGCCCTGAGTTACTGAAAGCTCTGGATCAGTCCTCCTGAGCTCCCTCGCTGAACCTACTGCCATTGGGAGGATTCTGCACTGCCCCCCAGTGGGTTGTGGCGTGGGCAGGGGGCAGGGGGCAGGGGGCAGGCAGTCAGTTTTGTAACCTGAATAGACAGTCATCGTTTCCATGGAGCTACGAGCTTTGCGAATGAGTAAGCCAGAGTTTGGAGAGTCAAAGTTGGAAGTTTTCCCTCTTGCTCACTAAAATCCAATGTCCGTTCGCTGGAAATGAAGTGAAATCTAACCAGTTTGATCAGTTGTGCTCCCAATCCCACCCTTGCTCCGGCTGATCAGCTACACAACCCTCTCCCCTCATGTACTCTGCCGGCTCTCTCCAAGCATTGGCCCAAGGAAGGGTTTTGGGCTGAGGATTGATTGGGAGTTTCTCTGTTTCTGGCAGACAGCTACCTCCCTAGAAACACTACCCCCCCCCCCCGCCAATTCTGCCCTGGCCAATCCCAAATGTGACTGTTTAGTTCAGGAGAAACCAATGACTGTCCCTCCTTAAAAACTATCTGAAGATCTCTCAATCTCCATCTATCTGATTGTGTCTCTTTTTCTCCAATCATCTCTCTTTGTCCATTCTCCGTCTGTATCTCTAAACAACTATCTCTGTCATCTCTCGCTGTCTCTGGTTGTCTTACTTTTGTTGTATCAATCTATCTTTTTGTCACTCTGTCATCTTTGTCTGTTTCTTTCTGTTATTCATGTCTGTATGTTGTCTGTCTCTCTTTTGTCTCTATCACTGTCAGTCTACCTCTGTGTTTCTATCATCTATCTCAGTCTCCGATGGTCTCTCTCTCTCTCTGTAATCTTTATCTTTCCAGCTTTGACTGTTATCTGAATCATTTTGTCTGTCTCTCTCTGTAGTCTTTGTATACCTGTGTCAGCCAGTGTTTGTCTGTCTCTCATCTGTATTACAGTCAGTCCCTATCTGTATGTAATCTTACTGGCTTTGTAACGCTGTCAGTATTCTGTCTGCATACCTCATTGTGCTATCTTTGTCTGTCTCTTGCCTACCTCTACAGAGTTGCGTTGGGAGTAGACACCAACATAACTGTAGCTTCAATTATAGGAAGGAACAGACCAGGAATGTGAGCCAAAATTCCCTGGAACACCTGTGTTCTATTGCAGCTGATCCCAGGGTAGTCTGCTGAACACGCATGTACCAAACATTTCACCTCGAAAAATCCTCCTCTTTAAATGAAACACGATTCAAAGCTGGGAGGGAATCATTCTGAACAGATTGCATGCTTTATGTGAGAATGAAACCAGTTTCCTAAGTCCAGGACCAAGTCAATTATTCCCTGTCTGTGTGCATGGGCTGTCATGTACCAAGACATCGTAGCCACTCTCGTAATCCTGTAGACCTCCCTCTCAGGGAGACACTGCTCTTCAGACTGTTTTCTGCAGGATTGCAGATGTGGAGAAACTCCTTTGTCTGTAGGTTCCTGCTACCACTGTATCTGAGGTAACAGGGACAGAAACCCTTAGCATCGTTTTGTCAGGAGCCCTGGCACATTATCCCTGGGGAATGAGAGGGAAGAAAGTAAATTAATAAGGAGGTGCCTCTTCCTTTCCCAGCTCCTACTGAGTCTGTCACCGACCTGGATACTAAACTCTTTGGATTCCTTCCTGAAACCCCTCTGTGTCTCATTCCTCCTTTTTAAGAATCTCATGAAAACCTACCTCTTTGACCGAGCTTTTGTTTGAATATCACGTTCTGTGGTTTCGGCAATGCTCCTGTGAAGTACCATGGCATGTTTAAGGTGCTATATGAATGCAGTTTGTCATTATAAATCCCTGCAGGCACCCCCTTGCTGTTCAGGGGGATAACCACTCAGGAACATAGGATCCTCTCGGAGACAGAGGGGACACAGTGACAACACTTGTTCATCTTTCAGTCCCTAGTCTCTGATCTTAATCACAGAGCAACGCACATCACAGACAACCTCAAACAGAGAAGGGAACTTAAAGCTGTGACAGGGACAGCAGGGAACTGACTGTAGGCTTCTGGTCTTCCCAAACTCCACAGCTTTAGGCTCGGTACTGACCAGATCAACACCTCACACTTATTGCCCAGGTACAGGTGTGGGTCATAGTCGCAGATCCCCTACTAATCTATTCACTAAGCCCTGAACCACACATTGAACATTGAACATAGAACATAGAACATTACAGCGCAGTACAGGCCCTTCGGCCCTCGATGTTGCGCCGACCTGTGAAACCAAGTTTTGAGGAGTAGAGGAAACATTAGTCAATTGCTTACCTGTTAAAATACCAAGAGCCACTCACTACAGAGCAAGCAAGAAAGAAATCATTGGCACAAAAACAGAAATTGCTGGAAAAGCTCAGCAGGTCTGGCAACATCCGTGGAGAGAAATCAGAGTTAACGTTTCAGGTCAAGTGACCCTTCCTCAAAATGTTCCGAGGAAGGGTCACTTGACCCGAAACTCTGATTTCTCTCCACAGACGCTGCCAGGCTTTTCCAGCAACTTCTGCTTTTGTTCCTGATTTACAGCATCTGCAGTTCTTTCGGTTTTTATTAAAGAAATCACTGGTGCAATCTTGAGCAATTTGTCATGGTGCTACAGAGCCAGGTCGCTAAATCTCCAGGATGAGCCTGGTATCTTCAGGAGTTAACAAGTTTTCACTCCTCGTGCACAGAGCTGGAGGGAACAATCACAGTGGCATTAAAACACAACACTGTTCTCCTCCCGCCCCGCCTCATTTAATTTGAAGATTTTTTTTTGTTGATTGGTATTTAGGAATATTAATGCTGGGAAAAGAGGTACTTTGGCCAATGAGCAAGAAAAATCTCATTGGGTTAAGGGTCACCTTGCTGGTTGGCAGTTCTGCGGTTGGCCTAGGTAGTGAGCGTGGGGTAGAGGGGTGGGTGATGATGGCAAAAGCTGGGTGTTGGGAGAATGGCCAACTCTGCTGGGACCCTCACTCCAGCTGCTGGCAAAGAACTGCCAAGGTAAGGGCTTGAGGGGGAACAAAGCATCAGCAAAGAGAGCCAGTCAAGGAGCTCCCAGTGGCACTCTGCCCATGGTGGGACATCTCTCGATGGGGTCATGTTGGTTCCTGTTTCCAGGAACTTACTTCTATGTTCCCCCTTTCCCAGGGAGCGCTGATCGTGTCCCTCTGCTCCCAGAGGCTTTGCTGAACTGATTTATCTTCTGACCTAACCCTGAGTCATTTCTTGTCGTCGATTATTCCGTGATTGGTGAGAATATAACGTGATATTACCAGAATGAAATCACCACAATTATTATTTTAAACTGTAACTGATGGGATTTTCTTATTCTGGGAAATAAAATAATCTTTAATACTGGTGCTGTAATGCGTCTTGTCTCTGACCCTAACAGCGGATTTTTGTCTCTCTGTCAGTAATAGTAAGGGCTGGACAGAGTTTCTGCGTTAAGGGACTACATTTCTGCACCTTGCAGCACCTCTAGGCATCCACCAGATTGTTTTAACAGCCAATCAACTACAGCACTTTTCAAAATGTCAGCAGCAAATCTCTGGCACAACAATCAACACAAACTAGGCAATCATCTTAGAATCCCTACTGTGTGGAAGCAGGCCATTCAGTCCCTCCTACCTCCCTATAACCCTGCATTTTCTGTGACCAACCCACCCTAACTTGCATATCTTTGGACTGTGGGAGGAAACTGGAGCACCCGGAGGAAACCCATGCAAACAAGGGGAGAATGTGCAAACTCCACACAGACAGTTGCCCAGGGGTGGAATCGAACCCAGGTCCCTAGTGCTGTAAGGCAGCAGTGCTAACCACCGAGCCACCCTTAATGATGCAGAGCTGAGAGATGAATATTTGGCCTGAGGATAACTGCCTTGTTCTCCTTCAGATGAGTGCCACAGGTTCATTTGTGACCAGCTGAGGGGCCAGAAAGGGCCTTGGTTCCACGTCTGTGCTCATGGGGATGTCACGTCTGACAGTGCAGCGCACTGCCCCCCCACCCTGACCCCACCAACCCCCCACCCCCACAGTACTGTCCTGGCAGCTTGGCAGGGTTCGGATTCCCAGAGGAGATACTGTTGTATACTGAGCCTGAGTAACAGAATGTCCTAACTCATTCTGTAGAACTGCCCAACCAAACACTTTGCACACCTTCCCCCCTACCAACCCCCTCGCCCTTCCCCACTTCCCCTACATGTTCAATCATCGTATTTCTCATTAGGTGGGGGTGGCAGCTGCTGTGCACCTTGACATCAGTTAGTGACTTTACTAGAGAATGATCCGGCTACAGCTGACAGTGTAACTGCCCTCTGGGCAATTAGGGATGGACAATAAATACTGGTCTGGCTAAAGACGCCCATGTCCTGTGAACGAATTTAAGGGAGATGGTGACGTAGCTGTAATGTCATTGGGCCAGTAATCCAGAGGGATGGGCTAATGCTCTGGGGGAGCAAGTTCAAAACCTGCCACAGCATGAAACTACAGTCAACTGTTATTAAAACTACCTGTTACTGGGTGGCTCGGTGGTTAGGACTGCTGCCTCACAGGGACCCGGGTTCAATTCCACCCTCGGGTGACTGTCTGTGTGGAGTTTGCACATTCTCCCCGTGTCTGTGTGGGTTTCCTCCGGGTGCTCCAGTTTCCTCCCACAGTCCAAAGGTGTGCAGGTTAGGGTGGATTGGCCAAGGGAATGCAGGTTTACAGGGATGGATCTGGGTGGGATGCTGTTCAGAGGGTCAGTGTGGACCTGTTGGGCCGAATGGCCTGTCCCCACACTGTAGGGATTCTATGATTCAAATGTAGCGAGGGCTGGAAAGTAAACTGGAACAAAAGCAGAAGTTGCTGGAAAAGCTCAGCAGGTCTAGGCAGCATCTGTGGAGAAAATCAGAGTTAACGTTTCGGCTCCAGTGACCCTTCTGCTCCTGATTTACAGCATCCGCACTTCTTTTGGTCTTTATTAGGCCCAGCTGGGCATGTCCCAAACATTTCCCCACTGTGAGGCCATCTCATGCCCTAATCACCATCACAGCCCTGTGTGTGTGTGTGTGAACAGGATGGGGGTTTTGCTATGAGAGCAGTGTCAGCCATCACTGGGTTGGAGCTTGTGACTGGACTAAGCCCCCATTCTGGGAAGCTCGGCCATCACCATCCATACTCCCACCATCACCTAAAATGTACATTACCACAGTAACACGGATTCCTGGGGGTCCAGTTAGCACAGTCAGCTGGGCGGTTGGTATTAGAATTAGGTTTTATTGTCACGTGTACTCAAGTACAGGAGTACTGCGAAAAGTTTACAATGTCCCAGTCATCACGCCATCTTAGGTACGAGGTACAAAATCTTTTAGCAAAGAAGTAAGTTAAAAGTTCAACATTACAGCCTTTCTTTGGCCACGGGCCTGCAAGTTGCTCCAGACTGGGCTTTCCCCAAGGGCTCGATCTCTCGATCCTCGCGCTCCTGTCAGACTCACCACAAGCCAGAGCCCTGCTCTGATGCCACTCCAGGTCCCCAGCCGCTTCCATGATGCTGCCGACTGCCAGAGCTCAGCTCTGGTCACACCAACTGCCTCCTGGCTGATAGACATAGCTCCTGCTCTGGGCCACCAGAAGGTTTGCAGAGGGGAAAAGAAACTTAAAAATAAAACTAAAACTTAAAAAGAGAGAAAAAAAGCGAGAAAAGAAAGAAAAGCAGTCGGAGCGGACGAGCTCCACCTCAGGAGACCTACTCTACCACCATCTTGGATTCTTAATAGACCAGATCAATGCCAAAAGCATGGGGTTCAATTCCCCCTCAGTGTGGGATGGATTCAGGCTCCCCCCACCTGATTGCGGTGGAGATCCCAGGAGAGTCATGTCAGACCTACCTTCGAACAGACAACACAAGCTCTGCTGAAATCTGCCGGTCTTGCATCTAGCAAAACTGTTCTATCAACTTATTTCCATCTTCCCCGACCCAACCTCCATGTTACCTGCATCAGTTCTGGCTGATATCTGTCCTTGTCTAACCTGGGGATAACCGCACGGTGATCAGGAGCAGGAAACCTGCTGATTTCCTCTGTCTCTCTCTCTCTCTAACCCACTGACAGTGATCAGGTGCCAAGATCCAATGGATTTTGTACTGTATCTAACATGTCACTGGTAATGGTCATGAAAATACAAAGTTTTTGCATTGAGGTCCTGTACCAATGAACAAGCCACATTATAAAGAATCTCAAAAATCATCCCAGGATCGTGGACGTTGCAGACCTATCAAAATCCTTGAGTGAGACTATAAATTAATGCAGATAAAGATTACACTGGGACTGAGGGAGAGTTTTACTGCAGATAACGTGGTTTGCTAGAATTGAGGAGTGTGGTAGCAAGGAGGTTTCCTGGAGTAGGATGCAGGGATCGTGCTTGAAGACTCTATTTCTGAGACCGTTTACTCCTCCCTTGTTAAGCCAGTCCTACAATCACATTCCATAATCTGTCTGGGACAGGGGCCAAATCTTAAATCTCCCGTGGTCAGAACGCAGCCTCACAGCTCCTCCCAGTGTTTTAGTTGGGTAATGCCAACTTCTCCCATTAGTCATACTGACCCCAGCACAGACAGTCCTTGGACTGTGGACGGGATACATTCTAGAGTCCATTTGCAAGTCCACTTGTATGCAAGTCAGAATACAATGTAAAGCAGCTGTTCACATCGGGTCTTTTAAAATTACACCCCTATATAGCATTGTGTTCTTGAATATGAGCCTTCATATGTTAGATGCTTGTAAACTGACTAATACCAGACTCAAGTCAACACCGAGTTACACAAGGAGATAAAGTTAGATGGACGGAAGTTCGGTCACAGAGGTAGTCTTTGTGAGGAACAGCTTAAAAGAGCAGAGAGAGGTGGAGAGATTTCGGGAGGAACTTAGGGCCTGAAGCGGATAGTGGAATAACTGAAACAGGGACAGCCAAAATGTTTGAACGGGAGAACGACAGAAGTCACAGGGTGGTGGGGACCTATGTTACAGAGAGAGGGCTGGATTACAGGGCTGAATTTGAGAATTTTAAAATAGGAATTGCCAGACTCTGAGCTGTATCGGTGAATGGGACAAGGAGTCCCAGGTGGATGAGACTTGGTGCAGGTTAAACTTAGCAGAATGAGGAAGGAACTACATCAGTTCTAGAAATATAAAGATATGAGTTTGATTTGGTGGTGGTTTATTAGGAAAAAAAATTAAAAGATATGGATAAGGGCTTTTGTGCCACTGTGGTAGCATCCATAAAAATGTACCTCTGAGCTTAGAAGGTTCAAGTCCTATTTATCCCAGGAATGTATCGGCTAAAAATGGCTCTGGTAAAGCATTGCAGAGGTTTAGAATTTGAGAGTCAGAGTGTCATACAGCCTGGAAACAGACCCTTCAGTCCAACTGACCATAATCCCAAACTAAACTAGTCCCACATTCCTGCTCCTGGCCTGTATCCCTCCAAACATTTCTTATTCACGTACTTCTCCAAATGTCTTTTAAATGTTCTAACTGTACCCACATCCACCACTTCCTCAGGAAGTTTATTCAACATGTGAACCACCCTCTGTGATTAAAAAAAATTGCCCCTCATGTCTTTGTTAAACTCTCTCTTCTCACCTTGAAACTAGGCTCCGCCCCCCGTTTTGATCGCAGTCAGCTCATTAGGGACACTCTGAAAGGAAGCAGTTACTGAGAACCCTGGATCAGGGTGTCCTGATATCTCCTCACTGAACAAACACCTTTGGAAAAATCTGGAATTAAGAGTCTAATGATGGCTATGAATCCATTGCAGATTGATTATTGGAAAAACCCATCTGGGTTCACCAATGTCCTTCAGAGAAGGAAATTTGCCATCCTTAGGCTGGTCTGACCTAAATGTGACTCCAGACCCACAGCAAGACAGGTGGCTCTTAACTGTTTTTGTTCTTTATTCATTTAGGGGATGAGGACGTCACTGCCCAGGCAGCATTTATTGCCCATCCCTAATTGCCCAGAGGGTAGTTAAGAGTCAACCACATTGCTGTGGGTCTGGAGTCACATGTAGGCCAGACCAGGTAAGGATGGCAGTTTCCTTCCCTAAAGGGCATTAGTGAACCAGATGGGTTTTTCCTGACAATCGGTAATGGATTCATGGCCATCATTAGATTCTTAATTCCAGATATTTTATTGAATTCAAATTCCACCATCTGCCGTGGCGGGATTCGAACCCAGGTCCTCAGAACATTATCTGGGTCTCTGGATTAACAGCCCAGCGATAATACCACCAGGCCATTGCCTCCCCCTAACTGCTCTATGGGGTAAATATGGGATGGGCAATAAATCATCCCATGAATGAATAAAAAGAGAAGAAAT